GTGCCGGAGCACCCGGCCTCCCCCCCCCCCAGCCACGGGCACGGGCACGGGCACGGGCACTCGGCAGGTGCCCATCCACGCTGCTGCCTAGCCTACCCTTGACTGGTTCAGTGGGGACTTGGTAGTGTAGGTTAATGGTTGGGCTGGATGATCTTAAAGGTCTTTTCCAACCTAAACGATTCTACGATTCTAGGTGCTGGCGCTGCCAGGTGTAGGCAGCGCTGCCTGATATTGCCCCATTAGAAGGTAGATACCTTAACTTTTCCAAACTTAGTTTTTCAGGGGGGATGTTTGTCTGCAGAATACCTGTCTCAGGCTTTCAGGGGGTGGAGAGGGACAGGGTGGTCTATAATCACTGAACCTTCTGCCTGTTTGTTAAACAAGAAATCGGACTGTTGAATGAGGATGTTAAAAATACTGTGTAACTTCTCATTCCTTAATGAGCCAAGGGTCGTGGAAGGAGGGACAGTATGTGATTGCTGAATGCTATTTTAGCACAAACCGCTGAGAGTTAATGATCAGAGCACACTTACTGAGATGCTATCCTACAGGCAGATCCCACACTGTATCTTTTTTTTAAAAAAACTATAAAATCACCCCCCTGTGCTCCCCAGCAGAAGGGAATTGCACACCTCTGTCACACTGGCTCCACTCTTATCTCTAGAAGAGCTTTCCCGTGCGACCTGGGGAAAGCCATTTCATCATTCTGTGTCCTGGATTCCCTTCGTACAAGGGGCTAACAGTTATTAATTATTCCCTTCTTCCTCAAACTCTCTCCCAGCTTTTTGACTTATAAATGTCTCGCATCAGGAGTCTCCCTGCTTGTGCACATAGTTGGATCCTAATGCAATAAAGCCCTCATTTCAACTATAATGTAAAAGAAAGAAATAACCTGGAGCCTACGTGTCCTCTGAATTCTCCATAAGGTGCTAAGAGTGTTACCACTGGAAGTACCTAGGAAAAGCTCTAGGTTTTCCTTCTTTAAACTAACATCATTTGCTTTTAATGCTTACTAAGAAAATGGGATGTAGTATAGTATTTTGGAAATATTTCTCTCTTAGAGTGGATTTCCAAGCTTCTGGGCACTACTGGAATATGTGAGTGACACTGCATTTACACCTGTGATACAGAAGGTGAGGATGTGTATCCTGTACCCAAAGATATGCACAGCCTATGTGCAGTCATCTAGTGCTGTAACCGACTCGGGGAATGAAATGTAGCAGCTGTTTAAATAGAGACCAGTAACACGATACAACAGTCTAAGTCCAGCAGGGAAGAGCACCTTTTCCATTAGAAACAGCAGGGTAGATTTACACTAGGAATCATTATAAAAACAGGAATTAAAAAAAAAGAGAAATTCACGCATACATTGCAATTAAAGCACAGGAAACTCTGTAATAAAAGCAAGTTTCAGGTGTTTTAAATGGTGAGAATTTTAAACTGCTACCCACTAAGGATAAGCAAGGTGTCACCAACCAAGCTGGAACTTAGCCAGGACAGGAAGGATAACAATTGTTAATGGTATCTGCTGCTCCTCAATGACCAGAAACGGTCAGGCCTTCCATCTTACATTGCATCTAAAGCAGAAATTTTCAGTAGCACAGCAATCCTAGTCCTGCCCAGAGGTACGTCCATGTTCTTTTAGGGAATGTAGTTCCCACGTCATGTTGGATGGGAGACTTTTTTAAATGAATGAAGAAGTCTTAATGCTACCAGAAAGAGGCCAAGTTCAGAGCATATGTCAAACAGACTAATGAACTGTAGGGCAATGAACTATCTACAGACTTTCTGAGGTGCACAAACATTTGCAATTTCTGTATGTTGAGGAAACCAGAAAAGAGATTAGCGGACTCTCCACATTTCAAATGAGGGCTAAGTCAAATTCTTGATGTTGTATGAGGGTTTTGTACTTCACCTGACTGACAGCAAAATCTATGGTGAGTTTGACATTTGAGGTTTCAATTCAGTGCTTTTAAAGGCATCTATAAAAAAAATCTCCACCTCCAAAAATAAATGCTCTAGCTCAGTTAGCAGAAAATACCAAGTGGGATACAACCGGACTTGTTAGAAGGAACTTTAACATTGAACTGGGAACACAGAAAAAAATCAGTCCAAGTAGTAGTGTTTTAATTATTAACGCCTCAAAACATGTGTATGGAAGCAAGGGCCGGAAAAAGAGTAGCTTGATAGAGAGCAACATCACAAGCGCAGGTACCATCAGTTTGAGACAACACCAGGAGCTCAGCTATTCAAGAGGTGAATGTCACTGGCACTGGGGCAAAGCACGGCAGTATGTGTTACCTACCACGTAAGTACTGACAGTCTCGGTCACCACACTCCTAACCGGAGCTTTGGAGCCTCCTGCTGCCGAGACAGCTGGAGAGGGTGGTGGGATCAGGACCGGCGAGACAGTAGCCTGTGGAGGAGGAGGAGCTGGAGCTGGAGGAGGGGTGACATGAACTGGAGCTGGTACTGGTGACGGCACGGGTGGAGGTGTTTTGGGCCGACTCACAGGAGTAGATGGTTTGGCCTCTGGAGCTGGCACCACTTTGCTGATGACTCTGTAGGATCAAAAATGAGAATCGTTAGAGCTGATCAGAAAGCAAGTGACGATTGATCACCGACTAGATATAAAGAAAATACAGTGCGGCTAATTCACGTCACCTTTGAGTCATCAAAGAGGCTGTTCTAACCCAACAGAAGGACTGTTGTCATTGCTACACCCATCCATTGGACAGGATAAAGCACAGAGCCATTACAAAGTGAACGTCAGGACAGCCTGAGCCACTCTCTATAGCTCACTGTCATATAAGTAGTCTCTGTGGCTTTACTATACCTTGCTTCATTAAGTTTTATTACATTAGCTCAATTTGTGGGAAATATTCTTCACTATGAGGGTGGTTTCTTCACTATGAGGGTGGTGAGACACTGGAACAGGTTGCCTAGAGAAGCTGTGGAT